TTAGTTTTTATGATTAATGTTTTTAAAGTAAACTTACAATTTTAAAACGATTTTACTTCCATAATATCAGAATCCAACAAACCTTGGGACTACTAAACAAATTTTCTTAAATTATAAATCTCTACAATACTTTTTTGATATACTCTTTGATAGAACACTTTAGACACTATCTTTTATCAAAGAACACCCCGCATGCATGCAAAAAATACTACATTCGGGACCCATGTCCAGCTCAAAGAAAATGAAATCATATGTCTTTTTGGTTTTATAAGCCAGTTTTTTCTTTAACAATAAAATGAAATCATTGATTAATTCAACAAATGATGGATATAAATAATGTCACTATAGATTAGGGTAGGACCATCTATCAAGTTCCTTTAACGGTTCACACTACAAAACTTCCACGTTGTCTTTCCATATGGCAAATTAAGTCAAAAACAACAGGCTAAAATGGGCTTATTAATTTTGATTAATTTTTAAAATTAATAATACAAAATTTAATTCATTTCACTAATACACAATTTAAGTCTTAAAAACTGAAATAAAAGTCTCATATTTAATTAAAATTTTAAGGAATTTAAATGGTTTCAATTGAAATATATTTATTTTTAAATTATTTTGTTCGGACAGAGTATTAAAATGATTAATTGTTAAATTTTTTCATTTTCGTAAATTTTAAAAATTTTGGATAAATTTAAAAAATGAGAAATAGGAATTAATTTGTAATTTTCAAAAAATTTAATGGACCAATTTATAAAATTTAATAATTATTAGGGATATATTTGCAATTTTTGAAAATTTTTAGAGTGAAATTAAATTTTTTATAAAATATGAAGACCATTTTGTAAAATTTTAAAAATTAATAGTAAATAATTTAGTATTCTCATTATATGAAATGAAATAGCAATTTTTTATTTTTTATTTTTTGGTGTCATTTGAAATTCCTTAAATTTAACTTTAATAAAATATTTTATAAATTTTAGATTATTTTAACAATTGTCTATATTTTATATCTAAATAATAGATTTTGGTCAAGTCATTTTAGATTTTTTTTCAGCAAAATTTTTTTCTCATTAAAATGATTTATTAAAACACACTCTAAAAGATTTGAAATTCATCATGGCCAAATGTAGTTTGATTTGTTGGGTGGATCCATCCTCAAGTGGGATCACACACACTTATTAGAGAAAAAAAGGTGTGTGTTGTGTTTGAGCTTGGCCCAACACGTGTTTATGTTTGAATGGGTTAAATACCCATATGTGTTATACAAAGGTGTAATTCCTAATTGCAAAAATAGGAGAATGTTGCATAACAAGAAAATTTTTTTTACAGCGATAACAAAGTGAGAGCGGGACAAAAGAGAAAGAAGATTTTAGTTCCGATGACAAAAGTGTGTTCAGTAAACGACATTCATTTTGGGTGAAATTTGAGTATGTTATTTTTATTATCAAATTAGTCGTTTAGATTATTTTTCTAAATAATTTTGTCTTCTCTTTGTGTCTGTTTGGGATAACTATTTAAGGTTTGCTCTCTGGTTGTTAGAATCACCATAGTTGGTGATTATTTGATGTTTTGTCGGTTGCTAGATATTTAGAAAGACATTGATTGTAACTACTATTTTGATAGTGGAAGTTTTTGGCTGGACTAGGTCCCGTAGTTTTTATTCTCTCATATTAAGAGGAGTTTTTCACGTAAAAAATTCTGGTGTTCTCATTTATAACTTTTACTCCTTTTGTTGTTCTTGTTGTTGTTGGTTGTGCTGAATAAATTAGATTGTCCAGGTTCCACAAGAAAGAGATATTTAACGCTTCTATATATTCCGCGTGCGCGCTCTGTTCCTAACAAGTGGCATCATAGCCTTGTTCTTTTGTGGAAATTAATTCTTGGTGAACAATGGAAGTCAATACAATTCATATGGTGACCTTGAATGGGTCGAGTTATGCCATGTGGAAAAGTAAGATGGAAGATTTACTTTATGTCAAAAAAATCATGATCATGTGTTTGTTGCAATGAAGCTAATGTGTAAAATCGATGATGAGTTGACTTTACTACATAAACAGGTGTGTGGATATATTCGTCAGTGGGTTGATGACAACGTTTTGAACCATATTAGTTGGGAGAAAATGCAAAATCATTATGGGATAATCTTGAGCAACTCTATGTGAAGACGACAGATAATAACAAGATGTTTCTGATAAAGAAGATGTTGAGTTTAAAGCTCTAAGAAGGAACTTCGTATGCCAATCATTTGAATACTTTTCAAGGAATTATGAATCAGTTATCTGCTATGGGTATTAAGTTTGATGATGAAATTCAAGGGTTGTTTCTTCTCGGTTCTTTGCCCGACTCATGGGAAACATTTAGAATGTCATTGTCTAATTCTACTGCTGATAGCATGTTGTCAATGAACATTGTCAAAAGCAGTGTTTTGAATAAGGAGATGAGAAGAAAGTCTCAGGACTCTTCTTCAGAGTCAGGGGTATTGGTTACTGAATCAAGGGGGAGAAACATGAATCGATATTCAGGTAATAGAGATCAAAGCAGCAGTAATTCCAAGAAAGTTGTTGAGTGTTACCATTGTGGTAAAAAGGGCATAAAAAGAGAGATTATTGATGGCTCGACTAATCTGACCTATGATGATGATTTTCTTCTCGTTGGAGATCATCATATTGTTTATAGTGCATCATGTTGGGTGATCGATAGTGGTACTTTAGTACCTGTCACTTCCAGGAGAGATGTTTTCTGCTCATGTACTTCGGGTGAATTTGGTGATGTGAAGTTGGCTCATGAAGGTGTGTTAAAATGTGTTGGCCTTGGGGAAGTTAATTTAAAGATGTCCGCTGGTATAAAGTTAACTATCAAGGAAGTGAAGCATGTTCCAGACATTCAGTTGAAGTTGCTTTCGGTGGCTAAACTATGTGATGAAGGTTATGACAACTTGTCCTCATGAGTTTCTTGGAAACTTTCCAAGGGATCTATGATTATTGCTAGAGGTACGAAGTGTTTTAACCCTTACTTGACACATGAAAAAATAATTGAAGATGTGCATGTGGTTGAATCGACAGAGAAAGTTAAGTTGTGGCGTAAGAGGTTGTGTCACATGAGTGAGAAAGACATGGTTAAGCTTTGCAAGAAAGAGTGTGTTATATGACATTAGAAATCCACACTTGAAGAAATGTGATCATTGTCTTGTTGAAAAGAAGAGCAATGTTTCTTTTAAGAATCACTCACATAGAAGACCAGAAATTCTTGATCTGGTGCATTGTCATTTATACGGTCCTATGAAGACAAGAACAATTGGGGGGAGTGCATAATTTCTTACCTTTGTTGATGACCATTCAAGAAAGACTTAACTAGTTCTGTCAAGCACTTTAGCTGAACAACTCTTCTTACCAACAAACACAATCACTCAGATGTTGGAATACGTGCTGGAACATCTTGTTTCACATATTTTTGCACAAAATACATCTTGTACATATGTTGTTTTACTTAATACATCCAAAACAAAACAAAAAGAACTACAAAAAAAAATTTGCATTAGTTTTTGAAACAATAATATAAAATATTTAGAACGCTTAAAACAGTATTTAAATTATAAAATAATATTTAAATACCTAAAAGTTAACACCATATAAAAATATATCATTTATAATTATTGACTGACATACAAAAAGAAAAAATTAATACATAAACAAAATCGTACGTATAATGTATTAATATATAGTGTCTTACACCTAAAATTATGTCAAAATAACACTTCTTCCTATTTTTATATGTTTTTTTTTGGTGGGTATATTTTTCTTTTGTTGGCTTTTTCTCTATTAATTTTCAATATAAAATTTTTTTTATAGAAGATACTAATAAAAAAAAACATAAAATTATTCCTCCCCCTTTGGTTTTAAATTATATGTCTTTATTTATTTGATATTGTTTAAAAAATATAATCAATTTTATATTTTAAAGAATTTAACTTTATAAAATTGTTTTTATTAATGACATAAAAATTAAAATTAAAAAATTGAAAAAGAAAATGATTGATAATAGATGGTATAATAAAAAATCATTAATATTACATTAATAATGTAAAATCACTTATGATTTGTGATATTTCACAAAGTTTTTTAAAAAAACTTATAATTTTAGGGAGAGCAAGTGAACAGATATTCCATCTTAATATATTGTCACACTTAAAAATAATATTATTTTTAATTTTATTTTAAAAATATTTATTATTTATTCTTATGTCCTCCTCACAATATTTTTGATTTGATTCCATATGATGACCTCACAATATTAATATAAAAATATATTTAAAACAAGAAAGTCTTTATATTTGAGTTCAACTAATTTATTTATTTTTGTTTATTATTGAGTTTAAAGTAAAGTTACTTTTTAATATTTTATCATTGAGTTTTATTTATTTATTTATTTATGTTTTACCATTTATAATATGTATGAATTTAGAAAATAATGTTCTCATTCAACATAATAGTAGCTGTCAAAATAACCACAATGGTAAAATACAGTTAAGCATACGTGTTTAATTCTTTATATTTATTTACTTTTTCGACGAATTTTTTATATTTATCAAACTCTTAATAAAACACCTTAATTCATTAATACTCTTAACTAATGATCATTAATTTTTTATTATGGTAATTATGGTAAGTAAAACTCTCTACTTACCCTTGCCCACATAATTGACCCTAAATACACTTCAGCTTTTTCTTCATTTTCATTCTATCTTTTCTCTCTCTCTCTCTCTCTCTTGGACAACTTCTGAGAACCGTTGGATTCTAATCAAACGGTCAATAGTTGTTGTGAACAACAAGGTATGAAAAACAAAACATCCTTGATTCTTGTTTTTGGTTTGGTTTTCTCTGATCAACCAAGTTAAAAATCTTCCCTTTATCACAAACCCATGATTCAAAAGTAACCAAAGTTTTGATTTTTTGATTTTTCTTTGGATTGGTTCTTGGTGGTTTTAGGTGAAACAAAAAATGGATTCAGATAGTACTGTATCTTCTTTGATCATGATGGATGAAGATTTGCATCCACATCAATTCTCTTCTTCAACTTCTAAGCTACATACCAATGGTACTCCTACTTCTACTAGTGTTCATGAGCTTCTTGAATGCCCTGTTTGTACCAATTCAATGTACCCTCCAATTCATCAGGTTTGTTCCTTTGTTCTTTTTTGCTTCATGGGTTGGAATTGGATTATTCTGATCTAGGTGTATGTTTGTATGTTTGTTTGTTTTCTTTCTTTTTTGTTTTATTAATGTTTGATTGCAGTGGAAAAGTGTACAATTTTGTTTAGGTTTTTTTGGGTTAGATTTTGTTTTGTGGATCTTGTGTTTTTGCTTGTTTATTTAAGGTAAAGTTTTGCTTCTTTGTATTTACAAAAAAAAAAGAGAGTAAAATTAAGGTAAAGTTATATGGTTAAGGATGAATGAGATATTGAATTTGTTAGATGAGTTCATGTCACAAGCAACAATCTAGAGTTTTTGGACTCTTGTTGAGCATTTGTCTTTGGTGTTGTAACCTATATTGAAACTTTGTCTTACTCTTGATCATAGAAAACTTTGATCATAATACTAATTTCTTAAAAACATGTAACTTTTGTTTTTGTAGTGTCACAATGGGCATACCCTATGTTCAACTTGTAAGACGAGGGTACACAACAGGTGCCCGACTTGCAGACAGGAGCTCGGGGATATTCGGTGTTTAGCGTTGGAGAAGATCGCGGAATCACTTGAACTTCCTTGTAGATACACCTCTGTTGGGTGTCCGGAGATATTTCCGTATTACAGCAAACTCAAACATGAGTCTGTTTGTAACTTTAGACCTTATAACTGTCCTTATGCTGGATCTGACTGTTCTACTGTCGGGGATATTTCACAACTTGTTGCTCATTTGAGGGATGATCATCGAGTTGATATGCATTCTGGATGCACTTTTAATCATCGTTATGTCAAGTCGAATCCCATGGAAGTTGAAAATGCTACATGGATGTTAACAGTAAGTTATGATGTCTATATAATCCTTTGAATAAGAAAAGATAACAAAATGATAGTGGAATGTTGTCAAATCAATACCTTACAATGTTGTCAAATATTGGTCGCGGCGGATATCAGAGGTGGTTTTTTGGCTCTCTGCCATTGCCAAATTTGTGAAGAATGGTGGCACCATGGCTCCATACCTATATGCAAATATGACGGTGTCATATGTCAGATTTTTTTGCTCTCTCCCTTGGTCTGCCATCTATGTAGCATCTACACCTCTAAAATAAGGCGTGTCTGTGTCCGTGTCAGTGTCGGACACTTGTACTGACACTTGTGATTACAATTAATTTATTCATTTTTAAAAATTATTACCGGTGTCAGTATCAGTGTCAGGATCGTATTTGGGGTGTCCGTGCTTCATTGCCTGCCATAGATAACACCTGTGGTACCTTGATATCATATTCATTACCTGGCATTTGCAGCAGAGTTTCCTTGATTTAGGGTCTGTTTGAATCGTTCTATTTGAGATGATTTACTGCAAGAAGCCCTTGTGAGACTGTTTAGGAGAGCTTGTGGAAATGGTTTATTTATGATAGTTCTATTTAAGATTATTTACTGCAATAAGCCCCGGTGAGGACTGTTTGGGAGAGCTCGTGGAAATGGTTTATGACATGTCCATAAGTTGTTTTCAACTTATTTTCATAAGCTCTTCATGATAATCACTTAATCAAGTTGTTTATCCAAATAGGGATGCACAAAGGATATATCAACAACTTAAACTTATTGTTTTCTCATCCAAACTGATATGCCGAACTGTTTTATTGTTTCTGTCAGGTCTTCCACTGTTTTGGACAATATTTCTGTCTCCATTTCGAAGCCTTTCAGCTAGGAATGGCTCCAGTTTACATGGCATTCCTCCGTTTCATGGGCGACGAAAGAGATGCCAGAAGCTACAGCTACAGTCTCGAGGTAGGCGGAAGCGGCCGCAAACTAATCTACGAGGGCAGTCCAAGGAGCATTAGAGACAGCCACAAGAAAGTTAGAGACAGCCACGACGGCCTCATTGTATACCGAAACATGGCACTTTTCTTCTCTGGTGGCGATAGGAAAGAGTTGAAGTTACGAGTAACCGGACGGATTTGGAAAGAACAGCAAAACCCTGAAGGTGGAGTTTGCATACCAAACTTGTGTAACTAGATTGTTTGCATGTTTTCTCTCTAGATATAAGTTATGTAGGGGTGATTAATGTTGTTGCAAGTTGTTGATAATTTTGGAAAGTTATTACATTACACTTCAATGAATGGTGATGTTGGTTTCAACTTTCAACTTACAAAATAACAAGTTTCTTTCTTTTCCTTTTCTAACCAAGATACTTGTCAAATCTTTGTTCCCAAATGTATCATATGCTGAATTCTTCCAACAGTTTCTTTTATTCTTAGATGCTTGCTCTACATTGTTTTGTGAATATTCTAGTCAAAAGTTTTGTGTGCGGTTCTCTGGCATCTAGTTGTAAAGAGTTGTCTCAATGTAAGAATATCAAAAAGTGTCTACTATCAACAAGGTGTGTTCAATATGTTTCAATCAATTTTATTTAGACACTCATTAGTCATTATTAAGACCCAAATTGTACAACAATAGTTTTCCTAATAGCTTGTTGGCATGTTTCCTTAACTCCACCAAACTAAACCTTACACTTTGCTGGATGAGCCTTCATATCAGTAGCCTATGAGAATTTTTTAAACTCTCTCGTTATAATCTTCAGAGGCTTCATCTCCTCTAGAAAATAGCATTAGATCATCAACCAAAGAAATTTTATTTTTTTTACATCAATAATATACATAGATGAAATAGTTTAGATTTCATCCTCTAAACTTAGAAATAGTTTAGTTACTATTGTTAGGCAGTTATGCTGGCTGTTAGACAGTTATGCAGTTAGTTGCTATACAGTTAGGTAGTTAGTGGTTATTAGAAGTTAGTTACATGAATAGCTTGTAACAGAATGCTAGTATATATAGCTGTGTAATGCATAAGCTTGTATATGAGTAATAAAGAGCTTCTTTTCTTTCTCTTCTTTAATCTCTCTCTTTTCTCTCTTTTCTCTATTGATTTGAGCATGAGTTCTCAATCATAATATGGTATCATTCGCTTCAAGATCCACACCTGTGATCCTTCTTCTTTTCCCATAAACCAGTCCTTCTTCTTCTTAATCCAGCCCTTCTTTTTCATCTATGGCGCGCGGTTCCAATTCCACCACCTCAACTCAACGTGTCACCAATGGTGACATAGATTCAGTCTACTATGTACATCCTAGTGAAGGCCCTAATTCTGTGATCATCACACCTCAATTGACTGGTGTCAATTATATTTCTTGGTCTAGATCAATGAAACGAGCGCTTGGTGCTAAGAACAAGCTTGCTTTCATTGATGGCACTATTCCTATTCCTGACATTGATGATCTCAACCGCTGTGCATGGGAACGATGCAATTGCTTAGTCCATTCATGGATTCTCAACTCTGTTACATCACCCATTGCTCAAACTATCGTTTTCTTGGAGAATGCTCTTGAAGTCTGGAATGATCTCCAGGAACGGTTTTCGAAGATTGATCGAATTCGTGTCTCAACTCTGCGCATGGAGATTAACAATCTCAAGCAAGGGTCGAAATCAGTTCTTGATTACTTCACTGAACTGCGTGGCTTATGGGAGGAATTAAACTCTTATCGTCCTCTACCATCGTGCACTTGTGCTCAACAATGTCGCTGCCAAGCCTTGAGAGCTGCTCGAGAATTTCGCATTGAAGATCAGGTAATACAATTTCTAACTGGTTTGAATGACAAATTTTCTGTCATCAAAACTCAAGTTCTTTTGATGGATCCTTTACCATCCATCAACAAAATCTATTCTATGGTGATTCAAGAAGAGAGCCATAACGTCTCTTTACTTTCGAAACCTGAATCCTTTGCTCCTATGGAAGAAGTTAATTCTTTGGTAAATGCTTATGACTCAAGAAGACAAGGTGATCGTGGCAAGCAAGCCAATTACTCTGGTCATGGTAACAATAGTTCCCAAAACTCGCGCAGAGACAATAGGTTGTGTACTTATTGCAATAGAGCAGGTCACACAGTTGAAGTTTGCTATAGGAAGCATGGTTTTCCTCCAAACTATGGTAAAAAGCAAACTGTTGCTAATGCCACAAATTCCTCTACTGGTGACAACCAACAAACTGCTTCCACTGGTGAAGAAGATTCCTCTAGGAGTCAATGTGCTAGCATATCTCAAGAGCAATACTCTCAGTTGATTAACTTGTTGCAGCAAACAAATTTACTGTCTCAGTTGCCAAATTCTGCTACCAATGTTAATTCAACCACCAATCACATTTCTACACATGAGTCTACAGGTAATTCTCAAGTGCTCATAGCATCTTGTTCCACTAGTAGAAAACCTGATTTTTGGATCATTGACTCAGGTGCCAATGATCATGTATGCTCCTCTCTTCATTGGTTTAGTTCTTTACATAAAATTAAACCTGTTAATGTGTGTCTACCTAATGGTGCTATTGTCATTGCTAAACAAGCTGGCACTGTTAACTTTTCACCACAGTTTTTTTTGCAAAATGTTTTGTACACTCCTGACTTCTCTCTTAATCTCATGTCAGTTTCAAAAATGTGTCAATATCTTAACTGCAAACTTTCTTTTCATGCTGATAAATGTTATATACAGGATGTGAAATCACAGAGGATGATTGGTTTGGCTAGTCAAGTAGAAGGATTGTACAAACTAGTGCTCGATGATGGTTGGTCTGCTGATAAAAGAAAACACACTTCCAACTCAGATTGTTCCAATGACCTCACTATCCCTAAAACTTCTGCCAACACATGTAAAGTGATTCCACCACAAGCCTTGTGGCATTTTAGATTAGGTCACTTATCTCATGACAGAATTTCTAAAATGCATCAATTGTATCCACAACTTGTTAATGATAATAAGGCTGTCTGTGATATTTGCCATTTTGCTAGACATAAGAAAATTTCATTTCCTATCAGCACTTCTAGAGCAAATGCTAAATTTGAACTCATTCATTTTGACATTTGGGGTCCTATTTCCATTACTTCTATTAAAGGTCACAAGTATTTTCTTACTGTTCTTGATGATTTTAGTAGATTTGTTTGGGTAATCTTGTTAAAATCCAAGGTAGAGGTGTTTGACCATGTTAAAAATTTTATTACTCTTATTGAGAATCAGTTTCATACCTGTCCCAAGTACATCAGGTCTGATAATGGACCTGAATTCTCTCTCCCTCAATTTTATGCATCCAAGGGCATTATTCACCATAAGTCATGTGTAGAGACACCTCAACAAAATGGTAGGGTAGAAAGAAAACATCAGCATCTCTTGAATGTAGGTAGAGCCCTACTATATCAATCAAACTTACCAAAATCCTTCTGGTCATATGCAGTCCCTTATGCTGCTTTTATCATTAACAGAGTCACATCCAATTTACTTCAACAAAAATCACCATATCAGCTATTGCATGACAATGTACCTGACATTAGTCATATTAAAGTGTTTGGTTCTCTTTGCTATGCCTCTACTCTTACTTCTCATAGAACCAAATTAGAAACCAGAGCTAGAAAGGCAGTCTTTTTAGGCTACCCTGTTGGATATAAAGGCTGTTTACTTCTAGATCTCAATAATAGTGACATTTTCATATCTAGGAACATTACACATCATGAGCATATTCTGCCTTACAATACTTCTTCTGAATCTCTTAGTAATTCATGGGAGTATTTCAGTACACAGTCCTTACAATCATCATCACCAGTTACTAGCTCTACTCATCCTAGTGTATTTGATATTGCTGACATTTCTGATAATGTGCTTAATACATCAGCTGACCCTGCACACAATGACACGAGTATTGACAATAATGATCTTGTGCAACCTGAATTGTCTAATCCTGCACATGTTGATACTCTAGTTCCAGCACAAACCAATCCTCACGATATACCTACACAAAACACATCAGTACCTACTTCTCTCTCCACTCAACCCACCAATCAAATTCTCCCCACAAGGGTTTCTTCCAGAACAAGGCACCAACCATCTCACCTCAAAGACTATGTTTGTGCTTCCTTCAACAACAATGACTACCCAATCACTTCATCCTCAGGTATGGCTTATCCCATTTCTAATTCTGTTTCTTATTCTCATTTGTCTCCTTCCCATTCTCGATTCACATTATCTATCACCACTCAAACTGAACCTAAAACATATGCTGAGGCTTGTAAATCTGCAAGTTGGATTCAAGCTATGAAATCTGAGATTACTGCTCTTGAAGATACTGGCACATGGCAAATAGTGGATCTTCCACCAAATGTTAAGCCTATAGGTTGCAGATGGGTCTACAAAATAAAGTATAAGTCTGATGGTAGCATAGAGAGATTCAAAGCTCGACTTGTAGCTAAAGGCTACAACCAGATTGAAGGCTTGGACTATTATGATACATTCTCACCAGTTGCTAAACTCACAACAATTCGCCTTGTTTTGGCTTTAGCTTCTATTCATAACTGGCACTTACATCAGTTAGATGTGAACAATGCCTTTTTACATGGCACACTTCATGAAGATGTATATATGGTAATACCACCTGGTGTGCACACCACCAAATCCAACCAAGTCTGCAAATTGGTCAAGTCTCTCTATGGCCTGAAACAAGCAAGTAGGCAATGGTATGAGAGACTAACCTCATTGCTTATTCAACATGGCTACAAACAGGCAACATCAGATCACTCACTATTTGTTAAAAGTACTTCTTCTTCATTTACAATTTTACTTGTATATGTTGATGATGTGCTTCTAGCAGGTGATTCCTTGGCAGAATTCCAACATATGAAGACTGTGCTTAATGTGGCTTTCAAAATCAAGGATTTAGGAAGACTCAAATACTTCCTTGGTTTGGAAATTGCTCACTCTTCCAAGGGCATCTCTATCTGTCAGAGAAAATACTGTCTTGATCTTCTTTCTGATACAGGTTTTCTTGGTTCCAAACCAAGTAACACTCCATCAGATCCTGCCATCAAATTGCATAATGATGTTGGACCAGTCTTTGATGACGTCCCAGCTTATCGGAGGTTAATTGGGAGACTCATCTATCTCAACACAACCAGACCTGACATCACATTCATCACCCAGCAACTG